ACTGAGATAATATTTCACTTATGCATACCTTAAAAATGAAAAAAAAGTGTCCACTAGGAGCAATTATTTTTAATCTAAAAATGTATTATATACAATATCCATTGTTAAAATATGAAAAGGGTGCAAATATGCATCAATAATGTTTTTGCGATTTTAAACAACAATTTCATTATTTTTGGCGTAAATAGTGCATAAACAGAGTTGACCCTTTACGTTACAGAATTGATTAAAGTAACATAATTGATTGGTTAACTTGGGACTATGGAATCGCGTTCAAAATCGCAGGCGATTCTTTGCCGATTATGAACGCGATTTTGTGTAGCTTGTCAGTGAACTACGGCAACTGTGTAGTAAATGCCGCTCCATCTGAAAGCACGTGCTGGAGATTTACTACTAATCACAGAAGCGACTTTACTGATGAGATGCGCATGAAAATCGCATTCGATTTTTTTGCACAGCCCTACATGCATTAAAGGAGTAGTTCACCAACAATGAAAATTCTCACCCTCATGTCATTGCAAAACAACATGACTTACTTTATTTTGTTGAACTCGAATGGTGATTTTAAATATATATATATATATATATATATATATATATATATAACATAACATTTTGGCTTAAATATAGTAAATTACTGTCTGTTCCACACAAAGCTACAGTATGGTTTCAGAAGGCTTGTAATGGATTAGCGGTGCTTGTTATAGCAAGCATAATAATCCATATCATGGGAGCAAGTGCCATTTTACAGATACTTATTATCTTTGCTCCTAAATGAGATTCTAGCAGAAATGGTTATTATGAAGATAGGAGTTTAGCATTAAGACGTGTCTGTAATATGGCTGCAATGACCAATAAAGAGCCACCTAGCAGTTCCCTAGGAACCACCCAAAAGACCCTAGCAACTTTGTAGCAACATGCTAAAAACAAGGAATTTTCTAGTATAGTCTGTATTTAGTTCAGGTTAAATCTGAACACCTACATATGTGTTTTTGTGTGTGTAAACAAATATTGTATGTGTTTCTTTTACATGTTTGCAGTTGGTACAGATTATGGGCAGGACACCATTGAAAGTGCGGGAGGCTTCTTGTTTAAAATATTCCACAACAAAGACCAGATCGGTCACGAGGAAACCAGGGCCATAAAACAGATGTTTGGACCTTTTCCGGGTTCTGCTGCCGAGTTGTCTTGTGCAGCTGTGGGTCGTTTAGTGGCCCAGATCGGAGAATCTCAGGTGGATGCTTTCATCCAAACACAGAGTTCTCTCAAGACAGTGAACCGTAGTTCTATCTTTGGACGGAACATTGCTTTCTCATTTGACACATATGTGCTGGATGCTCAGGATCCTCTGCCCCGGTCAGAGGGGAGTGATACGGAGCAGGACATGGACTTTCACAGCTTCCTCAATAACCACGTTGGTGAGCGGAAGGCTCGGGGTGACCGAGATGATGCTTACTCGGCAGAAGAACTGGAGCGGAGAAACGCAGACAGCTCCATCCTGAGACAAGAGGTGGAGAAATACCTGAATGAGGGAAATATGCTATCGTCCAGTGCTGAAGAGCTCTCCACCTCTCTTTTTGAGATGCTTGCCTCCACAAAGAGTGATGACGAACTACAAAATGAGGTGAGAAAAGTTTGTATATAAATCTATACATTTATTTATATACATTTATATCTGTATCTTTCAAGAGAACTACTGTCATGGTGAAAAAAAAACATTTGAAATCTTGCTGAGCAAATTGTTTAGAGTTAGTTACTGTCGATATGTTGTTACTCACATAGTACCTAAGGTTTTAAGCAGGCTACAAATGCACACTTCTGGAATGAATCATTTATTAGACAGAATTGTTCAACAATAACAGTAAAGTAATGAAGACTGAGAATGGGAGCTCCTGCATGTCTGCACTGTCGCTGGGTTCTTGGTGCTTTTAAAATAAAACACTTTTTGGCCAAACAAGAAAAAATTATCGGACGATGCAGATAAAAAAAAAAAAAAAGTCTATATATATGTGTGTGTGTATATCTATCTATCTATATATATATATATATATATATATATATATATATATATATATATATATATAT